CCCAATACCTTAGGACTTTAAATCCTTGGGTCATGTTTAGAGTATGGTTTAGGATGGCGTTGGGGTCGTAGGCGTAGGACTCAGCTTTTAGTCTTCTTTGTGCTTCCGGGTGGGGCTCAAGGGGCTAAGTTTGAGGTGTGCTACTACTAGGGTTGGGATGAGCTCGCAGAAAAGCATCTTCAAATTTCGAAGATCACCGTGAAGAGCTTCAAGCTTTCGTGACGAAAAGTGTGGCTGAAGAGCTTCAAGTGAGCGTTCATCAGCGAGCAGCCAGCTGATAAACTTAACATTGAGCCTTCGGTACTGTACTTTAGGGGTCGGAATCATTAGTAGTATTTTATTGCCTCCCTATAGTCCGTATATAGCAAATATCGTAATCTACCCCAAAACCCCATTCTACCTACTAAGGCCCCGAATGTATCTCCAAAGCGACTGTCAGTCGTATGCAATGAGCCCCGTATGGGACCCGACGCAAGCAGCTGGGAGCAGTCTACACTTTGAAACCTCAACCCAAAACCTAGAGTTCAGGGTTCACGGGTTTAGGGTCTAGGAAACCTGAACCCAAAACTGGCGGTCTTGCGCAAACCGTTCCAGCTTAAACACCACTCACCGTAGGACAAGCAGCAAGATACCTCTTCCGAAATGGAAGTGATTATGTACTGCACCGAATACTGCAGTGGAAGTTCTTTTGTGAGGACCCCATTCCCTAAACCCTAAAGCCTAAACCCCTAAACCTTAAAGTCCTAAAGTCCCAAACCCTAAGCCCTAAAGCCCTAAACCCTAAGCCCTAAAGCCCTGAAGCTTCAACCCTAAAGCCCTAAACCTTAAAGCCCTAAAGCAGCTACTCGGAGTCGCTTCCGTGGTCGGAGGAAAATCCGCTCGGGACATCTTTCTGAGCTTTCGAGCTCCAGGCTTCTAGTGGAGTTCGGGCTTATGACTGCTAAGGTTGCTATTAGTATCATGACTAATAGTACTGCTCTTGATATTATTATGACGAGCCCGGTTCAACAATATAGTTGTTATTGTTTATGTTTCTGTGATTGTTATTATCAATAAGACTACTGCCGTTCTTACTACTGCAACTATCACCATTATTCTTAGTCCCCCTCTTAGTTATTATCAATAGCAAAACATTATAATTATCGTTGTTACTCGCATTATTCTTATTACTATCATAATTTTATCATTTATATCCTTGTCATTACGATCAGCAATATTCTTCTTCGTCGTACTATTAGAAGTGTTAGTGCTACGATTCGTATCAGTATCAGAATTAATATTAGTATTAATGCTAGAACAAACTTTAGCAGTGGTAGTGTTATCTATTCGCATGAGCATTAGTATTATAGCATCGGCATTGTTACGATTTAGGATATGTAATAGGAGTATTGCTCGTTCTACATATCAACGCTTCGCGTCGTCCGCCTCGGCCCGGCTGTGCTTGAAGCAGGTGCATTGTTTTGGAAAGCAGTGGGTAGGTCACACAGGTGAGGTCTGGGGGCTCCAGGGGCTTGGGCCATGGACAGAGGATCGGTGGAACTGCTTGCGCAGAAAAAATCCCGGCACTCTCCGCCAGCACAATCTCTGCACGAAGGGGTTGCCAACCCGAAATCCAATGTTTTAATGTTTTGGGGGTGGGGGAGGGTCAGTGGCGCCAAGCGTGGGGTGAGTCACTGGATCAAGAGGTGGGGAAACAGGCAATCCCGTTGGCCTTTGACCGCTTCGGCCGGGGCCGAGGCGAATATTATGGAGGTTGTAGATCGGCTCCGGGAACCCCCAACCAACCATTAAGCCTTGTGAGGCACTACGCCCGCAAGTCGTAAGTCACGCAGAGTACGACTCTTCGCCTGTGGCGTGCAGGCCAAGGAACCGCTCGCTGAAGAGAATGCAGACGAGGAAGTAAAGCAAGAAGAAGAGGAATCAGAAGGAGGACCCATGTTTAGGGTGCAGGCCTTTGTGGTTATCGGTTACTTGTTACTTGTTCTTCCATAGCCGGGTAGAAATTCCGATGTCTGCGTTCATGACCATACCTGAGCGTTCTTCTCGTTATTTACTACCCAAACCTTTCGCCCTACATACTAGACCCCAAGCCCAAGCGAACCTCAACGGCGGAAGGGCGCGACGTGGCGTAGAGGCCTTAGGGTGTAGGGGGTTTCGAAGTAGTTCATGCTGTGCGTCTCCTTGGGCTTAGGGTTCAGGGTTCAAACTCCAGGAGAAGCGGAAGAAGCTGACGCAGAAGAGGAAGCAGCAGCAGAAGGCTTGCCAAGAGGGCGCCTTTCGAAAAGTTGAGGAACATGTAAACTCGCCCCCTGCCCGCGCGCTATGCGCCACAGCGTGCCACTCCCTCTCTGGCCTTCCATACTTCATGTATACAGCATCTGGCTAGACATTTCGACATTGTACATGTCATTCCATGACTGGGACTTCCTGCTTCATCTTATCAGCCTTCCCGCTTTTTCCTGTGTTGTGCTAAAAACCCTGAGCCCCTAAACCCTAGACACCCAGACCCTAAACATCCTTAAACCTTTTAAACCCCTAAACCCTAAAAACCCTAAACCCCTAAACCCTAAAGCCTTCTCATGCTTCCAAGCCTCTTCGGGTTCTTGACTCTGGGGGTTAGGGAGTTTAGGGCTTAGGGGTTTCGGGCAGACAGGGTTTAGGGTTTAGGGGTTTATAGGGTGGTTAGCTTTTCGCGTTTCGTGTTCGGGGCTCTGGGGTTGTTTGTTCAGTCAGTGTTGGCATATGTTGGTATGGAAACCTGGAACCACAAACAGCAGACCCAACCAAAGCCAACACCCCCGTCTTTACCTACCACACGCAAATCATGAGAGACCCCGAGGCCTAAGCCCTAAAACCCTAGGCCCTAGCCCACTCGTCGATGAAGCCTAATATACCCACGATCAAGGCCACAACAGCTTTCAAAAGGACCCGTGAAAGGGTGGAACCGAACCTGAAAGCCCTCCCCTCCCAAAAGCCGAACGTTTCCTACTCAGCTAAGCCCTCGAGGGCGCTTGGGTTTCGGACTGGTTTCGGGCTGGGGGCCTGTGGGCTTCGCGCAAGCAGGTATTAGAATGGCATACAAAGTAATGCTGAAGGGACCCCTTAAACGAACTCTTAAATAACCCCTGAGGGGTTCTTTAATTCTATGGGGCTCTATAGGTTTCCGTAACGGATTCCTTCAAGGGGGCATTCTCGGGCTTTGGGGCTTGTGCACGGCTTTTTCTTGTCGAGCCGAGTGGTCGAACTTTCGGGTTTCCTTTGGGTTTGAGATTGCCGAAAGCGACAACCCTAGACCCTAAACCCTTATTGTGGTACCCTTACAAATCACCCTTTAAAGGAGCTCCACACTCCGAAGCCACGAACCTTAGGCCTCCTGAAACTGAAACGGCACCCCTGCTCGGAGGAGCCGCAGCTGCAGCGGCTCCTAGCAATGTCGCCGCGGGAGCTGAGGTCGCGCAAGACAGGGTGGAAGCAGGGTTTAGGGTTTAGGGAGGTGTCCCAAACCCTAATCCGAAAACCCTAGAAAGACCTGAATCCTAAAACCTTAAACCCTAGAATCCCAAAGTCTCATACCTTATAATCCCTAAACACAGGTGGAGGGGACGTCTTGAACATTGGGGTTCCGCTTGCTATTGGGTCTCTATGACTCTATGCGAAGGATCCTGCATCGCCTGCACCTGCAATGCCTTCTAGGGGTTTAGGATATCGGGGTTTACTATAGTGGCCTTAATCATTAGAATAGGTGTTTGGGGCCCATTATACTATAATTATACTAAGGAACCCGCAAAAGAGTATAGGTAATTAAATATTTAGGCCCCTAGATTAGGGTTTCGGGTTTCAGGGTTTGGGTTTCTGGGGTTGGCGCAGGTTTCTGCAGGGCCCCCGCGCTTTGAGGTTTCGACCCTTTACCACTCAAGGCGTCTGAGTCTGAGCTTTCATAATGTAGTAACCCTTAATCCTTAGATTGCACATCTCACCGGGCCGACTAAAGAGATTCCATTGTACTTTCAGGGCTCTGCTATTCCGTATCACCTTTCCGGCGGCTGCTTCTGACAGGGCTTCGTCCTCCTATCGGGATTCTAAGTTACTTTACCTATAGTCTCCATTGTAGTTCCTTTTTTTGGTTTAACCATTTCTATATTAAGGATCCTAAAAGGTAACCCCGAAAAGGAACTACAATGGAGACTATAGGTAAGCCTTATAACGGCTCTGCATTGCACCCTCATGTCTGTGAGGGCTTGTCCAGCGGGAGCTGGCTGGTGCGTGCCTCTGCCTGTGAATGCCGAGGGTGACCGTAGTGTGACACACTCGCAGTGCTCCTAATATGGCCTAGCAAAACCCCATTCCTCCATAGGCACAGTGACTAAGCTGACAAAGATCCCCCTTGAGATGCATCATGCTGCAGGTATACTTCTGCCACTCCCGTTGTTGATGCTGACACCCGATCCCGATGCATGACGCTCAGAACTGAAGGTACAGCAGAACGCCTCCTGCAACTCACGGCCCACAAGTAGTCGCATTCGAAAGATTGCTTACTGCATACTTGGAGGATCATGGGACTTAGTAAGTAAGGTTATAAGTCCCCTAATTGGGGTTATAAGTATAGTTACCTTAGTTATAACCCTACTTACTATGTCCCATGATCCTTTAAGTAGCTCAAATCCTGAAGCTTGCAACACTCTAAGCCTGATCCATCATATAGCGTCAACACACACAGAATCTCAACACCCTTACATCCCAATACACCAAAACCCTATTCCTAATTATTAAGGCCCCATACATCCTAGACCTTTCGAGTCGAAGACCCAGCTCGCTCTAAGCTCCTGGCCCCGACGAGGCTTCGGCGACATCCGCACCGGAGACGCTGCCAGACGCAGCGGCGGCGAAGCTCTGGAAGCGCGCCTGGGGAGTGTAGGGTTTAGGGTTTAGGGGTTAGGGTTTAGGGTTTAGGGGTTAGGGGCTAGGGTTTAGGGTTTGGGGTTAGGGTTTAGGGGTTAAGGTTTAGGGTTTAGGGTTTAGGGTTGGAGCTTCGGGGGCTTGGGGCCTCCACGGGATGTAATTAACGTAGGCACCTACCTGAATAGTTACCCAAGAGCTCTTCCCAAGGGTTCCTATGATGATTTCTAGCACAATATATAGCCCGAACTCTACTCTGATAATGCAAACCCCTGCATCACGGCTTGGGAATGTTGTTTCCGATGTTGTGTTAGGCAGAAATCCCGCAATTCGAGGAAACATCTTGGTCTTAATGCTAGGATTTTCTGCTTCCTGAAAGTTTGATGAGCAAGGAGCTGTGGCACGACTAGGTATTGTGGTCCTCCACAAAATTTCAGATGACGCTCTCATCTCACCGGACTCACTTGGTTGTGTAAGTTCTTCCTCCCTGTTCTCTGGTGTAAGTGTCATTGCAAACTCCTGAGCCTGTGCCAGTTGTCCACGTTCACGTTGAACGGGTGAGCGCCGAAACCGCTTCAATAATTGGCTTGCCGAACTTGCAGTGACCCATGCTCCTCGCACCATGCGCTGTGGCGCCGTTGTCAGATTCCTCCAGGCCTCCATACCGAACAAACCCCGTCATAGAGAAACCGCTCCCAGCAGTCTGCTTTCATGACGGGGATGTCGTAAAGATAGTCAGAAAGCAGTACCTCATGTTGCAGCTAAACTCCTGAAAGAATAGCTAAGATTATTGTATCATGGCCTCCTCTAGTAAAGTTCACTTTAGCTTAGCTCGCATGTAAGGTTTGCCTAATGTACGGCCTGGAATTCGAATCCTGCGTACGACACCGTCAGAGCAGCCCAGCCATCCCCACAAAGTCCATCACCTGGGGGTTTCCGAAAATAGGGGACCCTAATCTAGTACCCTAGATAATAGGATCCCTATTATAAGGACCCCAAAATAAGGTACCCCTAATTTTCGGAAACTCCCACCTGATGCTCTGGGAGTCTGCAAACTTTTTACGAAAAGCACTCATCACAATACTGGAACTACACTACGCCCCCCCCCCCCTTCCCCCAAGACCCTATGCTAATTATTCAACCTAAACCCTCAACCCTAAACCCTCAACCCTAAACCCTCAACCCTAAACCCTAAACCCCTACATTATTCAGAAATGGCGCACAGGAATTGGGTCGTAGCGGGGGTGGTGCGACAGGCCGCTGTCGCGTGCGCCTTTGCCGGGAGAGGCAGGGCCCTGCCGTGTTTGGATTTAGGGTTTAGGGTTTAGGGTTTAGGATTTAGCATTTAGGGTTTAGGGTTTAGGGTTTAGGGTGTTAGGGTTTAGGGTTTAGGGTTTAGAGTTATGGCTTAGGGGTTTAGGGCTTGGGGTATTAACTATGGTTCAGGGTTTAAGGCTTCGGGCTTGGCTTTAAGGATTTAGGGCCTAGGGTTTGGGGTTTGGGGTTGCGGTTTACGGTTTAGGGTTTACAGCTTAAGCTCTCTCAGGCTTCTGCTGCAAAGCAAATTGAGCTTTGAGAGTTCTGGGGTGTGCAGGGGTTTGCTGGCTTCGTTCGTTTGAGGGTTGACCGTTTCTTGAGTCTGTTGCTGGTGATGTTGTATCGAACATAGTATTTCATGGGCCACGTGGAAACTGAGGTCAGTTGAGGATTCAACGGCTAGCAATGGTTCTTGGGCTCTGGGATGTATAAGGCATGCTGCATTGATGAAGCTTTGGATGCACGCTTCAACAGAAGCTGCGTTCTGGGGTTCTCAGGTGTAAATGCACAACTGGCTAGGTGACGGAGTTTAAGGTTAGCGCTTAGGATTTTGTCAAGAGGGGCTTGGGGATTAAATGGCCAGCAAGCAGAACTTGCCATGGTCGTTGTGTTCGGTAGTACTGTGCTGGCATGAGGACAGACTCGAGTGTGTCTTTGATATGCATTGGTATACTATTTTCATATACATTAATATACACAATCATGCTGTACAAAGCCCAGTGCCTAAGTTTCCTAAACCCTAAACCCAAAATCCTCACCGTGGAATCCCAAGCCCGAACTTACAGCTGTCCTCAAGGTGATCCGATTCCGTTTGAGGACACCCGCGGGACTGACGGACTTTCAGGTGCAAGAGTGGCTTTGGGTGTCGGGGTTGCGGGGGTGTGTGGTATAAGGAGTCTAGGGTGCATCGAGCTTAGAAATTAGGGGTAGGGCTTAGAGTCTAGAGCTCGGGATGGATTTATTCTTTCTAGGGCTTAGGTTTGCGGGCTTATCGGTCCAATGCCGAATCGGAGTATCGAAGCACACACACACACACACACACACACACACGTGCATGGCCGTGCATGCGTCGAGCTTCGTGAGCCCCACCTTCACTTCTGCAAACCCTCAACTCCATTCACCCGCAAACTCCCAGAGCGCAGCTCGAAACCTCCACCCAAGACTCCGAAACCGCAAAGGTGAGCCCGAAACCAGCTGTCCCTCGCCGAAAATTCTTGGAGGCTGCTCGGTGTGTCGGAGCTGGCATGGTGGCTGGGGTGTCCCAGGCCACGATCTTGAAAGTTGAGCTGTCAACGGGTCAGGAGTTCCGATCCGGGTGCTGACTATTTAGGGTTGGCCTTGCTCAACTTCCTAGATATCGCGAAACTTGAAACCCCATAAACCCAAACACCCAGAACCAGAAACCCGGAAACAAGCCCTATAAACCCAGAGCCGTGTCTGAGGCTTGAGAGAAACCTTGCGCCCATATATCTCCAAGGCCCCTTGTACCTGACACTTCCTAGCAATCTTAGCGTTTAGGGATTTAGGGTTTGCGGGTGAGGGATTAAGGGTTTAGGGTTTAGGGATTTAGGGTTTAGGGTTCAGGGTGTAGGGTCTGACTAAAACGGACACCCTGAATCCTAGACCCCAAAACCCCTAAAGCCTTAGCCGTAAACCCTAGACCCAGACCTTAAACCCTGAACCCTGAACCCTAGACCCGCACGATCCCTAAAGCCTACAAACCCTGAACTCCTAAAAACTGAAACGGGCACCTTGAATCCTACTTGGAGCTTCACGGGTAGCTACAAGTGGGGTTGTATGTTGCTGATATGGGTTACAATTATAGTTACAGACAGTTACCCCTACTCCTCTTGACCCCACTGAAAGCTACCAAGTACCTTCTAACTCCTAAACCCTCGTAACCACCCATAAACCTCCTAAACCCTAAACCCGAATCCCTTATAACTACGTACCCATGAACCTCCAAGTATAGATCCTAAACCCCTAAACCCTAAACCCCTAAACCCTAATTGCTAAACCCTATACCCGAATCCCTTATAACTAGCCATGAACCCCAAGTATAACCCTAAAACCCCTAAACCCTAAACCCGAATCCCTTATAACTAGCCATGAACCCCCAAGTATAACACTAAACCCCTAAAACCCCTAAACCCTAAACCCTAGACCCGAATCCCTTATAACTAGCCATGGACCCCCAAGTATAACCTAAAAACCCCTAAACCCTAATTCCTAAACCAAAATCCCGAATCCCTGCTCTAACCCTAAACCCTAAACCCTAAACCCTAAACCGGAACTAAAGCCCCAGACCCCCAGCCATCCCAAGCCTCGCGGCTTCAGTCGGAGTTTCAGAGACCAGCGGAGCGGAGATTCGGGTTTAGCTTCGGGTCTAGGGATCTAGGGGGTTTAGGGTTTAGGGTTTAGGGATCTAGGGGGTGAGGGGTTTGGGGTCTAGGAATTTAGGGTTTAGGGATCTAGGGGGGTTAGGGTTTAGGGTTTAGGAATTTAGGGATTCAGGGCCTAGGGATTGTAGGGATTTAGGATTTAGGGATTCAGGGCTTAGGGGTTTTAGGCTTTAGGGCCCTGAACCCTAAACCCTAAACCCCATTAGGGCCTTAAGCCCTAAAACCTAAACTCTAAACCCTATGAGGGCCCTGAACCCTAAACCCTAAAACCTAAAACCTAAACCCTAAACCCTATTAGGGCCTTAAGCCCTAAACCCTAAAGCCTAAAACCTAAACCCTATGAGGGCCCTGAACCCTAAACCCTAAAACCTAAACCCTATGAGGGCCCTGAACCCTAAACCCTAAACCCTAAACCCCATTAGGGCCTTAAGCCCAAAACCCTAAACCCTAAACCCTATTAGGGCCTTAAGCCCTAAACCCTAAAACCTGAACCCTAAACCCTATGAGGGCCCTGAACCCTAAACCCCAAACCCTATGAGGGCCCTGAACCGTAAACCCTAAACCCTAAACCCTATGAGGGCCCTGAGCCCAAGACAGAAACTGCGTGAATCAGGTGACCCTCGAGCAGCAGGGGAGCTCCTCGAGCTTTCCCGTGGATTCTCTGTTTCAGGTCGGCCTCTTTCAGGCCGGTTTAGGGTTTAGGGATTTGGGTTTTGGGTTTAGGGTTTAGGATTTTGCGGGTGAAGGGTAGGTTTTTGGGTTAATGGTTTATAGGAAGGGTAGGTTTGGGGTGTTAATAACAAGGCTGTGTCGGGTGATGGTATAGAGTTCTGGGCTTCGGGTTCAAAGCTCTAGACCCTGAGCCCCGTGGTCCCCAAATTGAGCCATAAACACATTGTGATCCCATTCTCGGACTTCGAATGATTGCCACAATCCTGCACCGGCCGCTAGCACCTGCACCGAAAAGAACAAGGCAGCAGCAGCAGCAGCAGCAACAACAACAACAACAGCAACAGCAACAGCAACAGCAACAGCAACAGCAACAGCAACAGCATCAGCAACAACTACTACAACGACATCGACAACATCAACAACAACGAAAACGACAACGAAAGCAAATGCAGCAATAACAGTTTTACCAGTTCTGTATCGATGATGGAAGTGAAGGTGATGCTGCTACTAATGAAGAAGAAGCTGATGATGATGATGATGCTGATGATGATGATGATGATTGTGATGATGCTGGTGATGATGGTGGTCATGATGATGACGATGACGATGACGCCGACGATGACACCGACGTACGTGACGATACCGGTCGAGATGGCAATGGCGCAGACGACGATGAGAAGCAATACGAGGAGTTGCACCTTCAGCCCACATGAGGCTCTTGAGCCGTTATAAAGAAGCACACGGCAGTTTTGCCGCCTGCTAGATGATGCCACAACGAAGGCTGCCAAGATGATCCTTGTCGTTGCGGCACCAGGAGGACCAGTGCAGTAACGGCCACGACGTGAACAAACTGGCTATAGCAGCACCGTAAGGACCCAAAAGCACAGTTCCCACCCTCTCAATCCCATTTCGGTAAGCCTTGGAGCCCGAGGATATAGAGTTTGCCCCTGAACTTCACAAGCCTGCCCTAAACTGTAAACCCCAACCTGCCCATGTCTGTCACAAACGCCAAGACTATACTAGACTTCAAGGACCTTGAGCCCAAAGCCAAGAAGGCTGATAGGTCGGCACCCCTGAGACCCCACAGATCTCAGCACATCAAAAGGGAGTTTCCGAAAGTAAGGGGTACCTTATTTTGGGGTCCTTGTAATAATTTAAGGATCCTACTATTTAGCGTACTATATTTGGGTCCCCTATGTTCGGAAACCCCCAAATCAACTCCATCTTTTGCCTTTCAGGCTGGCGATGCCCCAGAAGAAGTACGGCAAAAGAAGGAGCCGAGCAGTGCCGCGAAGCCAGCCGAGAGGAGGAGCTTGGGCTAATTGGTGCTTTCGGCGCAGGGGGTGGAGTCATACGGCTTCGGGTTTGGGGTGCTCGTTGTCTTGGGCGTTGCAGTTTAGGATGTTGGCGTGCTAGGATGCATCATGTAATGTCCCGGGGTAGAGCACTTGTGGAGCTCCGCACTGTTGCTGTTTGCTATCCGAATCGAGAGTTTTGCGTTCAGAGTTTAATTTAGCCATGCTGGAAGCAGGCCTCAGGGGTTTCGAGAAACCACACCGAGCCGAAGCTAATGCTTCTTGTTGTTAGGTAAAACCGTGCTCAGGATCTTCATGAACAGAATCCTCCACAGATTAAGTGTCGAGAAACAGGACTTTGGACTTGGAGTTGCCCCGAAATCGCTAGCCTATAAGGACAAACCTTAATCCTCTGTAGCTGTCTGAGATCGCTCTGGGTTTGCTGATAGATCATCTCACATAAGTTTACGGTGTCATGCTTACGAGGACCAAATGCGACTGTGGGGTTTATGTGAGCGTTGCTGTCACTGTTGTCCTGCTGTTGTCTCATTAACATTAGTGGCACTGCTAGTACACTGATCATGCTTTATTGTAGCTGTCGTCACTGCTGCAATCTGCAGCCCTAAACCCGAAAGTCCTGTTGCACTCTCTTCACTGACTCGTCACCCTTCCAGAGACAGCAAAGGTCCCAGTCGGCAGAACGTCGAACTCTAAAGGCATAGGGTTGTGGGATGTCTTAGAATGTTTTATTTATGTACGTGCTATTCTTCTTGTTGTTGTTATTACTATGATTGTCAGTGTTAATATAGACAGAAAGCGCTCAAGCCTTCAATGTTCAACCTCAATCTCCCTAAGCCCTAAACCCAGGACACGGCCGACCACAGAAGCTTCACCTAAGAAGCCACGAATCCAGCCACCGATGGACAAGCACAAGGCAGGATCCAGCTTGTTGTGTTTAGGCTTTGGGGGTCAGAGGGTTCGGGAGTTTACGGGTTGTGGTTGAGAGGGGGGTTTAGGGCCTGTCCTGGTTGCATTTGATAGATCAAGCTGGGATTTCATTGTTTTCATGTGGCACTGTCGTGAATCCTTTGACACCGAAAGCTTGAAATTTTTGTTATCAGCAAAGTAGTTGTCAAGGTCGAGTGCCTCCGTGGCTTGCCGATCAGTGTCGATGTGTCGGTGCGTGTCATGACCAGACAACACACTGACAGTCAACGTGCCCCATGTCGTAGGGTGTAGGGTTTAGGGTTTATTGCCCTGAACCTTAAACCCTACACCCTAAACCCTAAACCCTAGATCTAGTCCTGGCTACATGGGTCTGCAGCTTGCCTTGTACCACAAATGTTGGACCCTAAACCCTAAGCCGTAAACCCTAAACCCCTCAACCCTAGACCCTCAGCCGCAGCCCTAACCCTTGAGCCATATTCCTAAACTCTCTCTCTCTCTCTCTATATATATATATATATATCCGAAACCCTAAATCCTCAACCCTAAACCCTAAACCAGAAACCCGAATCCTAAACTCTGCCAGTTGGAACAGCTCCGCTATGCCATCCGAAGCCTGGGCCCCTGCAGCGATCGTGATGTCACTTCGGGATTCAGGGGCTTAAGTTTCGGTTTAGGGCTGTAGGGTGTAGAGTTTAGGGTTTAGGGCATCCTTTGTTGAGATTGTCTTGATCAGTTCTGTGCTGAGGTTTGGGGTTGGGGGTTGGAGGTCGTTGTCGGGACATACCGAGCTGGCAATCTAGGGTAGTGCTGCATTTAGAGACATTGTAACGGTACGTGCCGAAAGACCATACACAAAATCCCTGCAGGTCGCCAAATCCTAGAATAAGTTGCATGGATGTCCAGTCTCGGGGGCACGTGGGCGTCACGCGGGTACGGTGGCAACCTTTAGTTGTCTCTGCAACGTAGCTTGTTTAGGTGTCGACGCTGTTCAAGTTCAGGTGATTGACTGCTCAGCCTATGTTGGGTCGAGACAGTCTCAAACATGTTGTTCAGGCCTGTCTCCTTCCTGAAGCCCTAAACCGAACCCTAAACTCCTAAGCCCAAAGCCCGAAACCCTCAACCCCGAAGCCCTTAGTAAAGGATTTTCCAGTTTAACTTTGTTTTGCAGCCCGAGGCCAGAGGCTCTGCTTCTTTAAACAGACAGCCCTAAGATCTGCAAACAGATGTCCTAGACGAACTCATGCGTTTGGAAAGGGGACATTGCGCATGGTACATGACTACCTTCACCCTAAACCCTAAACCGCCTAAACCCTAAATCGTCCTTCAAACCTAGACCGCATCCTGCCATGACTTCAGGTCAGTTCGACTACTACTTTGGCGTGCCTTGGCATGGCGACCTTGCCCCCCCAGCCCCCAATTCGTAGACCCTAAACAAAAAGCCTAAACCCTAAACCCCTAAATCCTGAACCCCAGAGCGCTTGGGTCTAAACCCTATAAGCCCCAAACCGAAAGTTGGTTGCAGAATGAAGGGTTACAGTTTAGGGCTTCAGGTGTCGGACTTGAGGAGGTTTCGGTGTTGGCTCTGTAAACCCTAAACCCTAAACCCTAAACCCTAAACCCTCCCAAACCCTACGGTTTTGGGGAGTTGGCTTGGGCCAGTCTCGAGGCTGTCTTTAGCATCTCAAAATCTGAGCCTCGAATCTTAGAATCCGTGAAATTGGCTTGGGTTAAGGGTTTAGGGTTTAGGGTTTAGGGTTAAGGGTTTAGGGTGGGAATCTGAAGGAGTATGCCTGAATTTCACGGGCTGCGGAAGGGATTTTACAGCCCATCTGTAGTCACAGAGAGGCTGCTTCGATCCTTGCATCTCGAACTGAGGACGCGAACTATGCCAAGGATAACTTCCTGCGGTCCCAAGCAGATGATGACGGTTGGACATCGCTCAGATGCTCTGCTTGAGGTTCCCTGAGCACTAAACCTCCGAAGCCGCTAATGCCATGGCAGAGTAATTTGAGGCTCGGAATAGTCGCTGATAGTGCCCCCTTAAACTCCCTAATATGGTTTATTGGTATGATAGTATAATAGTTGTAGTATGTATGTATGTATATATATATATATAATATAGAAGTATAAGATTCACCCCAAACCCCTCGTTCTTAAGACCCGTTAATAGGTTAATGTGTTCAAACATCGAACTGCAGCGACTCCAAGAATCCAAGGGCTATTCCGTCAGACTTCGAAGCCAGGAGTGCATGGACCCAGGGTTTCGGGGCTAAGGGATTTGGGGTTTAGGGTCCAGAGCTTTTGGGCTGCAGGTTTAAAGGAAAAGGGCTCGGTGTGCCAGACTAGTGGGATCCTTGACAAGCCTATGACATGAAGCAGCGCTTCAACATATGGCTGGTAGTTCTCTAAATTCGGGTCCCTTTTAGGGTCCTTCTTATAAGGGTGCCGTACTTATAAGGGTGCCGTACTATGCTGGGGACCCAAAAAGGGACCCTAATTTAGAGAACTGTCCATATCTGTGGTTCTTACTTCGTGTTCCATCAGGCCCGGGCTTTAAGGTAGGGTTTAGGGTTTAGGGTTTAGGGCTTGTCCCAGACGGCACCTAAGCCCTAAACTTCCCGAACAATTTCAAGGCGCTAACTCCCAAACCACAGCTCACATGGGACCTTAGTCGAGGTCCTGAATAGTAGTATCCTGGTTATGAGGACAAAAACCCGGAACACCCCTCAATTAAGGAACCTTAGAATCAACATGGCTGAAAGTCTTAAAACCACAAAGTCTCGAAGCTCATTTGGGGTCTGAGGCTTCGGGGTTTTGAGATCATTGGTTGTTATATAGGGCTTGGGTCCCGGGCCGGCTAATGTGGTTGGGTTTGGGTTGAAATGGAAGTTGGTTAAAGAAATTGGAAAGGTTGTGTCCCAGCCCGAAGCAGGTTCCAGGACGACCACTCGGTTTCTCCAATTTGAAGCCCACTTCGCGTCCTGCCCCGCCCCACCCTGCCCGTTTTGTCTGCGCGAACCCTTCCCTAACTTGGGTTGTGCTGGTTGCGCTGAGGTGGGCTGAATGATTGGACTGGCCAACAAGAAGAAGCAATGTTTGTTTATTTCCTTCCTGAGGGTTTAGGGTTCATGAACTTTGTTGCACCCTGAAACCAGAAGCCACAGCTAAGCCTTTCGTAACTGAACCCTAGCTAAGGCAGACTTCAAGTTCCTGTGACGGATGTAATGCCCCAAACCCAGGAACTAGCAATAAGGGTTTTAGGGTTAAGGGGTTTAGGCCCGTTTAGGGTTTAGGGTTTCATATTTGACGTGACGCCAGCATGCCGTTGATTGGACACAAAACGATTGCCAATAGCCATGCAAGTCATGCATTGCTTCCGCCGAAAAAACTTACATGCATGCATGCATATGCATGCATGCATACGTACATACACGCACAGCGACACACAGACACAGACAAACAAACGCAAACTGCTACCTCATGAGTGGCCCCCCCAGCCCAGCGAACCCTAAACCCTCAACCCAGGACTGGTTGCAAAGTTCAACAGAGTTCGTGAGCTCACAGAGGACTTCGAGGCCGTGCAGCGCTCCCTTGCGACACGGTATGCGAAAAGCTGGAGTTCGAAGAAGGGTTCAGGGAGGACTTCTGGTGTTGGGATTTGGAATTTGTGGCCGAAAGGATGCTATGTAGATTCAATATAATGTAGGGGCTCGAATAATTACCTATACTATTTTGGGGGTCCCTGATTACAGTTACAGTATAGTGGGCCCCGAAACCCTATTCTAATTATTAAGGCCCCTATGTTTGAATTTAGTCTGTAGCTCCAAAGAAAGAACTGCCTTTGACCTTCGGGATAGATGGGCTCCCGGACCACTCTCGAAAAGATTCTTGCACTGCAATACTTGGGGCATCTTTATATAGCATATCACCCAGAAACGTAGAATCCTAAACCCCAAAACCCACCCAAAAGTCTAAACTATGCGCACAAGTTGGCAGGATGGGTTTGGCCCTGGACTTAAAAACCTTTGTGACTGTGCTCTGGCCTTGCCGGAGGGGTAGCACCCCGCCCTACTGATAACATTTAAGATCCCTGCGTAAACCCTAAAAGCCGAGTAGGGTTAGGTTCCGAGGTCTGGGGTTGAAGGTTTGTGGACTTAGGGGTCGAGACATTCCCGGCCAACCGGGCGCCAGTCGACTGACTTTCCCTGCAGCTCGTTTAGATGTCAGCGCGAGGGGCCCTAAGTAATGCTGTGCCTAAACCCTGAGCCCTAAACCCTGAACCCTGCAGACGCAAACAGAGGGGCTTTAAACAAAGAAAAACCCTGAACCCTAGACCCTAGACCCTAAACCCTGAACCCTAAAACCTAAACCCTGAACCCTAACCCTCGACCCTAAACCTTGAACCCTAAAACCTAAACTCTGAATATACCCAGGAAGATTCTGCGATTGTCGAAGTATCTGAGTGCGGCGAATACGTCCGGAAGAGAAACCACGAGCCGGACGAGCCCAGAGACGAAAACACTAATGGGCCCTGATTTAGGGTTTTGGGTTTTGGGTTTAGGGGTTAGGGTCTAGGGTTTCAGGTGTAGGGTTTAGGTTCATCGATGCATATTCGATATGGGGGGATACTGCATTTTCTATTGGGGGCAACTTAGAGAGTAACATCGCATTTTGTTGGGATATCAGTTTCTATTCGGCGCATCAGTTCTGTGTTCATGTATATCGTAGACTGACTGGTTCGATTATAAGGAATCTAAGCAAAGGGTATTGGGTTTAGGGTTTAGGGGTTTGGAGAAATTGAGTTTACAAATGGGTGCTACATAATTTCAATACAGAGTTGGTACCAGTAGGACAGGACCTGTTCCGTGGAGGACATATGAGCAAACATCAGTTTCATAGTTTAATCATCAACTCTTAATCGTCTTAGTCTGTAGCGGTATTGGGTTGGGTACTTTTGTTGTAGGGATTGGAGAGTTTCGTAAAATTGTGTACGAGGTTTTGCGAGGTCATTGACTTAGAAGTTTATGGAAGACTCGGGGAGATATCTACGGCCGGTATTTTCTAGAAGAAATGCCATTGGGTCCAAGGGTGAAGTCGCATCGAGTTGTATCTTGTCGCATCGATCCAGTGTGCATGAGGGTATTCTACTAAAACGCAATCATGCCACATGTGCGGCTCGAACGAGCGCTTGTGGAATTGAGCCTCTACATGGGGGATCGCTGGTTTTGATATGTTGTAGTGCCACGTGTGTCTCGAACGGGTTTTTGCGAAATCTAGCGTCAACATGGGGGAATGGTCGGTTTTGATGTGCCGTAATACCACTTGTGCCTCGAACGGGTGCTTGTGAAGTCTTCCTAGGGAATGCTCGATTTTGATATATTGGGATGCCGGAGATATGTATCTCGAATGCTAATTTCGACGATCCGAGGCGACTTCGGGTATCACCAATTGGATTGTATAAATATCTATAGATATATAGGCATTTAGGATACTCGTGAAGGCTTAAAGATCAGTCTATATAAATTACAGACCGAGAATGAAAAGAAATATAAATATTTATGTGTATGTATATATATATATATTTTTTGACACTATTTAAATAGATTATTTCATTATAAAGTAATGGTTTATAGGAGCAATTCTACATATATGTATTTATTAATGAGATGAAGAGAGATAAGTAAGATTGCAAAATAGGTAGGAATATATAGTAGGATTAAAGATTTGATAATCTAATTAGAAGTATTGTTCGATTTATAAAATTATTATAATATATATTTGAATATGTTATATTTACGCAAAAAGAATTATATATATTATATATAGATACGAGAGATTTTATATAAACAAAGACGAAAATATTTTGAACCTAGAATGAAAATAATTATAAAATATGAAATCTATATATAGGATTCTTAGTTATTTAGATTTGTCATATATATATATATATAGAAGAATTAGCTTTTAGAATATTATAAAAATAGAAGATTAATATTTAATATTTTGAATCTGTCGGGTTAGGCATTCTAGGGAGCCTCCCGAATCTATGAGATTAATATTTCTACGAGAGATTCATAATAATCTATGAGATCGAAAGAGAAAGAGATATAAATAGAGAGCTTTAGAGATAGAGATAGAATTATAGGATCAAAGATAAGAAGATAAAGGGAAATAGAGATAGAAAGAAATAGAGAAATAAAATTAGAGATTCTCTGGAATGCCGAATTTTAGAGATCTCACGAATTTCTCTGAAGATAAGATTCTCTGCAATGCCCAATCTTTAGATTCTCGTGAGATTCTATAGAATTCCGAAGTCAACAGATCATCATACGACTATCTAGAATAGTTAATCTCGCAGATATGATAAATATATTATCTATAGGGAAGGGATATTCGAAATAAAATAATTCTCTATCTCTTTCTATTTCTCTCTTTATTTATCGGCATCTGTAGAGCATAGACTATTGATAAAGATATCGGGTATCTCATTATTCATATATAATGAATTAGGCATGGATTCGGGTCCGAATTTTCGATTAATCATCAAAATATCTATAATAATATTATAGGAACAAATAAATTTCTATTTTTTTATATTCTCTTGATAATTATATCTCTCTAATATCGGGGGAGAAATTAATCCTAATTTCTAGATCTTAATAGGAGCTGTCATAGATTGAAGATCATTTATAGATCGGACCATATTATTAGACAGCTCTAAAATGGTAGAGCGACCAGTCCCGCCCAAATTTAGAATCTTGAATTGGTAGGTTATTTAGTGATTTTGACGATATCAATCGATATTGATGCTCATGGCTTGGACTAATGGTTTGAAGATTATGAATTAGGAATCTGGAAGGGATTTCCCTATATTATTTATATCAGGTCGTGGGACTATTATTCAAAATTAAAATTTTTTCCATTGAAGAATCAAAGATTATTTGATATAATTTTATGATGCGATATATATATATATATAATAAAAAAATAATATTATATTATTATATCAAAGAATCTTATATATATAGCGAGATATCATATAATAGAGATTAGTGGATCCTCTACGATATATCTCTAAAAATTCGCAAATTTTTATAATCACGAATATACGTATCTAAAATTTGGATATCTTCTTTCCGGGACATATCCTATTCCAAAATATTGAAATATCAATATCGGGAAAGGAGCGCTCCCGATAATAATATTTTCGAAATATAATAACCACGACACAAGCAAGTTAAGATTTTATATAAAAAGAAATATATAAATAGATGAAATATATATATATAATATTATCGATCAATATAATTCCATTATATTAGAGAATCATCTCAGAGTCTTTTCATATAGTGATAAGAAGATATAGATATTTTTAGAAAATCGAATATCAAATATTATCAAAAAGAAAATAATAATATTTTAATAAAGAAGATAAATAAAATAATAATATATAAAATAAAGATAAATAAGAGGTTATATAATAAAGAATCGATGATATAATAAATATCAAAATAATATGATCAGAATTTCGATAAATAACTAATAATAATACATATAAGATACCGACCCACGACCACTAATAGATAT